TTACAGAATATTCACTATACTTATCCATACACATAATATGGCGCTTTTTACAATTATTTCGATGTATTATAATTCGCGTGATAATAAATTAGGAACATTTTCTCCAAATTTAATGTTTGTTAATTAATTTGTACGCGGCCAATGACGACTTTATAATATATTATTGCACATGTTTTTAAATTTAAATGTGCAAAGCATATATGCATTATGCAAAAAATGTAAAATAAAAAATCTATTTTTAGAATCCTCTAATCTGTCTAGGTTCCATTCTTTTAACTATTTCCTATAAAGATATACATTTGTATAAACATCCACGGTCTAATAATTTTTATAAAGTAGACAGCAGATCGTAATGCATAATAAAATGTTTATGTATCGCTTACGAGATTAGGAAGTGAAATAGAAATTTCCATTACTGATAATTTTAATTTGTAAACGATATGCTCATATGTCTACACGCTTGCAGTGCTTTCACTGTTTCGGTTTTACGTATCCATTTTGGATACAAATGCTTAAAATCTGCATTATAATAACAAAACGACGAAGACGAAATTAGTAACGGGATCTTTCAGAAACGTAAAACCCACAACCCTAACAAATACCTTCAATACGAGCTTTGTGAATGATGAAATAAATTTCAGAAAAGGAAATGCGCTTGCTTTAAAATTGCTAAGGTTTCCAGAGAATCGAGGTCGATACCTTATTGAGACATACTTCTTTGTGTAGGTGACCACTCTAATCACTTACGACAGTGTGGTAATCCTTTGTTGCGAAGAAAGCTAACAATTTTGTTGTCTCATAAATCATAGATTAAATACAGTTTTCATTATATGTAGATAGTTATGGTTCTTACCTTGAAGAACTGACTTATTAGGAAAAATCGCGACAATAACAAGGTTTTTCAAAAGATTTCCTTACAACGATTATTGCAACGAAAAGCAATAAACATTGATATGCAAGAATAATAAATAAGGATGTATGTATGCTTTCGAACATCTCTGTCGTTTATCAGTGGTGCATACTTGTACTGAACATGTGTACTGCAAATATTATACACTGTGTTATAATACTTTGTAATTTCACTGACATAATCTTGAGACTCCCTCTTCGCTGTAAATAGGGTAGTGGAGTCGGTTAATGTGAGATGGCCAATAGGGTAGATGTTCCAGTTTCTATGCCCCTTGATTAAAAACGTATAGAAAAAGAAACGTTTCATATATAAATTGATATATCTCCCTGAATCTCACATGTTGACAGGTAAACATAATAAAAATATATCGTTCATCAATTTATATATAAAACTTTTCTTTCTCTATACTTTTTTGAATCCGGGAACACGGAAATTGCGACAGGCGCGAAAACTGGGACATCTACCTTAGATTGCACCTTTCATTTATTTTCAGGCATAATTAACTCAATATTTATCGGATAAGATATATTACATTCTTTTCTTCTTTTATTTTGCTTTTTTTTCAATAACAAAATTTAATGTCTCATTTTGATAAATATAAAGTTGATTATGCCCGAAAACAAACTAAAGGCATAGCAATTGGCAATCTCACAAATAGCGACTCCATTATACTAGTATACGTACCCAATAAGCACAGGACGTCTTAAAGACGTCCATTTCACGTCCATTTTAGATCTCAACGTCGCACGCTATAAAATGGATGTCTATAAGACGTCTGTTACGAGCCTCTTTAAGACGTCTGTTTTGAGCCGTCTTTAAGATACTTAAAATATTTCTTCAAGGCGTTTTTTATGTTTTCATGGTCTTTTTAATAAATCGGTCAAGTGCTTATAAATACAACTTTAATATGGATGATGAAACCAGAAGATAAAATTGATGATGTGAACTTATGGACGACTCGAATATCCTACACCAGATGTCTTAAAGACGTCTTTGTGCTATCTGGGTATTGTTCCAAACAATCCTACCTAACATAGCTATTTTAATTCTCCACCGTTGCAAAGACCATCCGAATAATTTATCAAACTAGTGTGCACATAATCTATCAAACTCGTGTGAGGAACCTTTTTTTCCAAAATTTGTTCGCGGCGCCCTCCAGGATAGTTCCAATTAATAAAAGAATAATCTACATCTTTTTTCTAAATTATTGAAAATATTGAAAAATATGGCAGACATAATTTATAGATTTGGTAAGGCTGCGTCTTTTACGTCGTACTAACTTTTTTCGTACATCGAAGGATTTGCAAAGATAAATGTTGGAGTCGGAAGAAAATAAAAAATTTTACTGAAAAATTTTGGACACTACAGGGTGTTGCGATTACTTTTGACGAATACAGATTAAAAAAATATATGTATATTTTATTTTTGACACCAATGGATTATTTTCTAGAAATGAAAAATCTTCCTCGAAATGGTCAGACTTTCTAGGTTTTTGTATAGCAATTTTATGATAACATGTTTGTTAAAGGGAAAATAAATCGCGAAATATTGCAAACAAAATTCAAAAGTTGAGGATAAGAATCATCCTAGTGCACACAAAGCTGAGGTCATTCAAACGTAAAGAATATTTGTGCTGGTAATCGTCCACATACCAAAACAATGCAAACAACAGTTGAAAAGAACAAACAGCCGAATAAGAAAAGACCTCGAGTGTCCACGTAACACGAAGCAGGGTGGAAATTCGCGAATCGCACTCAAGATTCCATTCATCTCGTCATTCAGAATCGGCCGTGTCCAAAGGATAATTAGTCAAAACAGAAGTGCTGTTTACACACGTGGCTGCTTAGCCGCGTCTGAGCAAACAGCCTGCAGCGTTATTGAATCAAGTAGATCCGAGCCGCGAGGCCTGCAACGGGAATTAGTAAGTCACAACACGTGTCGCGTGACACGTGTTTGGACGCGCGAAATCACGGTGAAAATTATGGCTGTGACCGTGCAAATTTAGCCCCTCGGCGCCGTCGTCGCGGACCTCTTCGGCATTTGGCTGCGTTCTGTCCTCGAAACTTCGAATCCGGACAGCTGTCGAGTGCATCGGAACATTGGAAATCGAGGAACTGCACCGTGGGCGATCTGAACATCGCGCAGTAGTCGGTCATTGTGCGTCACTTTTAAAAGTCAGTTTTAATAAATTTCCCCACATAACGCATAATTTATTTACTAGTACTCAATTAAATATGTGGCTCATTATTTACGATAATCTTTTTTATCATTTGTTCATTTTGGACACGGCTACATGTCTTCAAAGTAACCCATCTCCCAGTCATCCTAAATTTATATCATCGTTTTTTTTTTCTTTGAAGACAAATAATTTTTTGAGAATTTAATGTACTTAGTATGTACTTAAATTATGTCACAGGACACTTTTTTATCTCACACATTTTTTTAGTTATGTTCAATTGAATACGTTGAATTTTCATTTCATTTTTTAATTATGAGTTCGGTGAAATTCAGTGTTCGCTTTGATCGCATTTTGAAGAACGATGCCTTACATTAATAACGAAATAAAAATTGGCTGCTATTAGAGAAATCATTTAGTAATAATGCAAAAATGACACGTGCCACGAAGCATACTGTGATACCTATGGGCTACCAAGTT